AGCAATGCCTCATAAAAGCTGAAATGACAAATTTCCAATTTGTACTAATCATTTAATTCTAAGTTTAATGATGTAAATCCAGTTCACGCATATTCCGGTGTTTTGCCCTCTGCCTGTGCCATGAGTCATACGGTATGTTTCCGTTCAGCCACTGTAGATTCCTGACATACAGAACATACTACAGCCAGGTGTACCAGTTACAGTCACATTTTAATATTGAAACGAATCCGATTGATTCATTACTGTGCACAGTTACTCACTTAATGTCCAAAAACAAAGACTGTCCATTAGAAAACCTTTGATTACATCTTTAGCTGGTGTTTTCAGATAATTATGCAAGTTATGAAGTTTTTCTTCTATTTATTTTTTTTAAAGGTTATATAAAGCCCCTTCATGGTGTTGCATTACTTGTGAAAGCATTTGTGTGTGTCTACATGTGTCTACACATAACAGCTAGCTTTAGTATTGGATTTATATTTTTCCATCCCCTATCTGAACCTAGTCAGGGATATATATAGGGACTTGAAACATTTCCAAAAAGCAAACCTGAGAGTTGTACTGGGACCTTCATACGGTCCCTCCACTTTTCCCTGAAGCTTCGTTTGAAGAGGTGAATAATCAGAGGTACCAGATGAACATCAGGGATGAATCCTTCCCAGAGCCTGAACCCAAACATTACCAAGGCAGTTTGGAATTATTTTACAGAAAATAAAATAAACGGTATTGAATTTAGAGCATTAAAGTGTCCTTTAAGAAGCCTCAAGGACTATTTCTGAAAAAATTACTTGTGAAAGAGGGTTTAGCCTACATGAAAGACCTGTATTAAAATATATACAAACCATTTCCAGTTGCACATTTTGATGAGCAGCCAAACCCTTTTTTCATCTTCTTGATGTGTAGTTGTATGATGTCCTTTATTGTTAATTGTCCCGTATCCTTGTAGGTTCCTTTGGATAAAAGCATCTGCAGTAGTGTAAAACGTTTTGATAATCTTGCCAAGGCTTTTTTAATTCACTTACCAACATCTCCAGAAGCACATTTGTATAATCCTCCAGTAACTTGGTCGGTGTGTCTCAAACAAAGAACAAGCAGCTGCCTCAGACTCCACCGTTTTTGGCAAACCAACAGACCGATTGCAGATTACAATAAAGCGGGCATTGTGGGGGTGGCCCATGAAAAAAGACAAGAATAAAAAAGAAGCATTTGAGCCTGTGTGTTCATTTATTAGTCCTATGATTAATAAATCATCATTAATTCAATTAGTTTATGTTGTCACTAGTGATTTAGCAATTTAGGGCCATGTATGTACATCTGATTTATGACTGTTTTACAGCTGTAAATGTGAATATTGGCGTGAAATTAGTTTTATAGAAACAACTCAGCTCAGAATGACAGGCAGAATCAGAGGAATGGACGGGTTACGCAAAATGAAAGCCTTTAGGTCATTTCCCTGCGGTACCCACTGCACTGCTGCACTACCACCTGCCCCAAGATTTCTTTACTTTAGATTTTGTCTCGAAAGCTTAGCTGCCTGGCTTTACAGACAAGGCCTGATTGTTGTCAGTGTGGGTGCTGCAGGAACTGCTGAATGAAGCTGGTCATGTGTGAGGTCTGGCATGCACGTCAAGCCACACTCGACACGGGCTGGTATGCCTCTGACTTCAGGCTGTAAGAGGATTACATGATCGCACCTTCCGCCGAAACACTTTGATCTACCGATCATCTACAGTACTGTACGGATTGTTACCGTAAAGGTGAGGGGTAATCGTACTGCCAGGAAATTCAGCAGTCAAGAACAACTAAGATAAGCCATTAAAGCCATGCAATACGTCTGCAGTCTTTGTGCATAAACCTTCCTAAGTTATTGGGTATTTTATGCATACATGCATATGCAACATATGCATGTTTACATTGATGCTAATATAGAAATCACATGGGTTGTAATATAGAAATTGAATAAGAGGTGAAATGTCATCTCACAGAGATTGTGTTTTCCTTGTAGAGCTTTGATCAAACAAAGCAAAGACTGGATCTTTCTTTTGTTTCCAAGGTAGATTCCAAGGTGGGAAATGATGAATGATTGATATTCTGTGAATGCAAAACCTAAACAGGAACCTGTTTGAGTCCAGCAGATCACAGTTTATCTTTACCTGCATCTTGGCTTTCATTTGTGACTGCGGCTTCTTGTTGACGACAAACATTTGGTCACAAACTCTGGGTGCATGCTCCATGCTGAACTGGGGGGGGCGTTTCCTTGGTGAAGGCTGTTTGGCGGAAGGAGGGCGAGCGAGTGTTGAGGGAGAGAGAACACGGGAACCCCTGCTAGGACCTGGTGGAAGACCATTCACAACACACAAAATATGTGCAACTGAAAGCATCATTTGACCGGTCAGGCTGAAAAGAAACAATGAAGTGGAAAGAATTTAAACAGAGGGCGAATTAAGAACAGAATCTATGAAAAGAGCGGAGAGAAAAGGAAACAAACTTCTAGTGGCTGTTGGCAGGTAAAGTTAAAGGATTAAGGGATTGTTTAAGACAGAAAGCACTTGCTGTTGCATCTCTTAGTTCAAAGCAACAGAAAAAGTCTCTGCATTCACGTTCAAGAACGAATTCACCCACGTATGCAAATTCAACCTGAAAGAATCCCAGCCCCAAAATGGAAAGAAAATGCACGCTTGAAGCTCTCCAACAGTTTTGTGATTCAACGTTTGGAGCAACCCTTAGCTAGCGAATGGGGAAAAAGGACAGATACTGTGTTAAAAGGCCCCGCAGTTATGCAACAGCTGTTAGTTGCATTTTATTTACAAAAATAGGGGGGAAAGTTTGAACACCTCACATAATCAGTGCTTCTTAACGTCATGAAATGCCTTTTGGAACCACTTTTGTTATTTTTGAGACGCTTATCATCATGGAGCAAAAAAGCTTCTATTTTTCTTCATTTCTTGTGCTTTGATCAGAGGACTGAGATCTTGATCCTTTCTTTCCTCTACCACTGGGAAATTTCCTGTTTTTAAGCCAAAGATATGATCATTCCACCATTGTTTATAGTGACAGAAGATTTTTTTAAAATACATTTTGTGCTAATTTTTTATCAAGTCAAAGCTTTCCTCGAATATAAACTGCACCAACTCATTAGATCACTTTACAAAACGATGTATCACGTTTGTTGAGATTTTCTTAAATGGTCTGAACAATTGAACATACTGCAGCTTAAAAACATGTAACACATTTTAACGACAGTCTGATCCTCAATATCCCTGTAAAACTAAACAGCTATTACAGCTCATATCACTTAAAATTGACCAAAAAGTAAGTATATCTATCCAATAACCCAATATGGATTAAAAATTTGATGTCACTCCACGTTTCCCTCTTGTAATAAAATTGCCTTTAGAAATCTGGAACAAAAACATTTTAACGTGACAGAACATCCACTTTAAATAGGTCAGAGGAAAAGGTTTCTCATGTCCCCCAAACTTCTGCTCAGGACATACCTAATTTATTTTGACTGACTCAGAAAATTAAAAAAACAGACTTCAGATGATCAGTTTTTATTAGCGTTATTACAGACCATACAGCCCACTTACATATCCTTCATACATCATTTCATTTAAGGAGTAAAGCTCTATCTGCAGGTTACTGAAAAAGGCAGCTTGACATATGAAAAAAAGTATAAAAGCAGTTTATCATGTTATAAAAGTTTACCTGTTCTCTTTAGTGTAGTTAATCTGATCAGTACAAAAATCTGACGAAAAACTGGATTCCGTAATAATTCCTCTTTAATGTTAGATTTGTCACATTTTAGGGTTCATATATTAATCACATTACTTCATACGCGCACACATTTTTTTTTCCCGTTAGAAGTCAGCGTTACTAAGGCACTCAGCAAATGTAGGCACTGCTGTAACACAGAGGAAGACTCTGTTTTCTAAACATTAGAAGCTACTGGGAATTCTCTCCTTCTCCCCAACAGACGCAAATTGTGTGTAGAGAGTGGACTCTTTCAGCAGAGATGTAACCAGGAGGACCGGAATCATTTCCACTTTGAAATGTTCGCTGTTCGTCTCAAAAAAGGATGAACTGAACCGCCGGTAAGCGTCGTGCTGATTGTGCGTTTACGCCCAGAGAAAGCAGACAGCCCTGGGCCTGAGTCGGGTTCAATAGCTATTGTTTCTGTGCTAACAGAAGTGGATGGTTTCCCCCGGTCCACCCCGAATGCACTTCCTGTGAGTAAGCCTGGACAAGCAAACTTCCACATACGAACTCGTTTAAAAACAGGCACCATGGGAAAATGCTCCCAAAAATCGTGTGTTCGATGACCACAGTAGTAGGCAAAAAAAGAATAAAAAAATCTACTGTTAAAGATCACCACCAAATTTAACATTGTCCCATTCAAACTGAAGATGGACAACAATGTGCCTGAATTGGTACGATGCAGATGAAATGTGCTGTCCAGGAAACAGAAGCAATCACGTCCCTCCTTCAGTCTACAAAGTCCGAACAGGAGTTTTGCTGCCCTCCTGTGCTCCACTGTCAGAAAAGCGGCTTTGTGAGGGCGAGTTACGGCTGTCGCTTTATGTGGAGCCGGCATTCAGTCAAATATGAAACAAAGTACACTTAGTCCGTCTATCTTTAGTTGTTCCTGAGCAACAAAAGATCTGTGTATAATTTGTGCGTTTAAGAGGCCAAATGTTTTAAGGGAACGTGTGAACAGAGTGCATGAAATGTGTCTGGTGGAGTCAGAGGCCAGAGCCTTCCTATCCCAGCAGCACCCGCTGGAGGCGGTCGGCGGGGACGCTGTTCTCCTCCTCAGACTCGGCGTCGCTCTGGGAGCTGGAGCTGCAGGGGGAGGTGCACTCAGGGGAGCACAGGTAGTGCATCAGGGGCAGCCGGTACTTCCCACAAAAGTCTACGAATTTGATGTGGCGCACGCAGGAATCAAAGTACACACCTGGGGAGAGTCAGGGGCCAGAACACAGAACACAAGTCAGGCTGGAGCGCTCTGGGTGGAATCCTGTATGATTCTAAGGACTCTAACTTTAATTACTGTGAAGCATCAGCTTTCCTAGACACAAATCAAGGCAAAAAAAAAAAAAAAGGAGTCTCACCGGCACACTTGGGGTTGGGACACTTGCTGGCCAGGTCCAGGTAACGCACCAGGTTAGAGGGAAGCTCCGAGGGGGAGTATGGAATATTTCGACTCTTAATGGTGCGACCGGCCAGCTCCAGCAGCTTGGGGGTGTTGTAGGTCATCTCCTTGACGAAGCGCACCACCAGTGGGTTTCCTCTCAGGCTGAGCTCCTGCAGCTGCACCAGGCTGAGGATCTCTCTGGGAAGGTAAGTGAGCAGGTTGTTGTGGAGACTTAGAGACCGCAGTGAGTGGAGCCTGAAACGACACGAGGAGGAGAGGGATTTTATGTACAGGCACCACTACTGGAGCATGTGCAGAACACTCCGTTCCAGGCTTGAGGACGGGGTGGAGCACAGACGGAGCTGCAAAAGAGGATAAAAGGGGCTCACATTTACCTGGTGAGCTGCGGTGGCACACTTTGGATGCGGTTGTCACACAGGACCAGGTAGGTGAGGTATGGCAGGTTTGCCACTTCAGGGGGAATGGCCGAGATGAGGTTTCCACCCAAATACAGCATCTCCAAACTGACAAAGAAAAAAAGATCAATTTTATTTCAGCTCTATACAAAGCGTAACAATGATTTTCACTGGTTTATTCTAATAGATTTATCTTGGGCATCCTTTTTTTCCCCTAGAGTGGAAACTCTGTAAGTTTGAAGTTATGAGTAGCACTGACATAAAAAAATTAACGTTGCAGCACCATACTACAAAAACACCACAAGGGGGAGACCAAGATGCCCCAGTGCTGCCACAGAGAGGACATGTGGTTTAGATTATTTTGTTAGAAATATGCCTGCAGAGCAAAAAAGAACTAAACTTAAACAGCCAAATTGGTCCAAAATGGGGCAGAAGAGAACAAAATCAAATATTTATACATATAAAATAAAAATGTCGGGAACAAAATTATGAACATTGTACTATTGAGAAAGCAAAAAAAAAAAAAGACCATGGTAGCTCAGATTAGATACAAAATACACAAGGTGGTAATCAGGAGGCAAAGGACAAGGCAACAGGGACAGAACTGCACATGATTGGTCAGCAAAAGTAAGCCATCAGGCCATCTGCCTGCTGGATGTGATAGCACAGTGACCGTGAAACCGGAAACTCTGCCCTTGGTGGCTGCGAGCTGAGCAAAACTGTGACGGTCACAGAGATGCTGAGGGTCTGCTTACAGTCCACACACTTACACACACACACGTTAGGAGAAAAAAAGCACAGATGAATAAAATCAGGTCTTTGTGTCATGCTCTCTGCTGTCCCAGCATGTTTCCTGCTGTGTAAAAAGATTTGATTTACTTTTCTGGGTGATATCAAGTCATTAACAGAAACAAATCATTTAAATCCAAGCACACGTACATTTCTGTCATAAAGGCTATGAGTGGAAACAGGCGTTAATTCATTAAGTGATCTCCATTCTGCTGCCCTACACCTCAGATCTGCAGCGCTAGTGTCACTTAGGCAAAGAATTCGGACACATGCATTCCAGTAGTGGCTGTCCGAGAGTAAGTCACTGACAGTGAAGGGCAATACTGTCAGAGTGAGTGCACAAAAGGAGAAGCCTGTTTCATGGGATTACTACATCCTTTTTCCCCAAACTGTCCTGGGAAACACTGTGCATATGGATACTAGTGTGTACTACTTTCAGCACAAGCGGCTTTAAACCACAAGGGCAAAGATACAAAAAGTTGACTGATCATTAGAGAATGGCAAGAGAAGAAAATGGGTTCTAAACAAGCCTCAATACAACTGATTTAGATGAAAGGAGTGGGTCTTAATTAGCCTTCGCAAAGCTTAAAGAGTTGGAGGGCTGTCCTATTTATTTGCTGGAGCAGGGACTTTTGGAAAACAAGCAGGACAATGTGCCTTGAGGACCGGGGTTGGGAAACACTGCTTTAGATAACCAGAGAGGAAAAAAAGATCCACTGTAACGCTTTTGAACATGGAGGAAAGAGACATTCTGAGTCAGATAAAAATGTTATCTGCTTTTAGCCAAAGCAGTTGGCTAAAGCAAAAACTATGAGGGACCAGAGATGCAACATCATAAGCAGTCCCCTGATTCTGAATGTAAAGAGTACACGCTGTTCTCATTTATTCCAGATGTGTCAGCCTTATGCACTTTTTTCCTTTATTTAATATTTTTCTGCTTTTGATTGCACAGCACAGGTCGCTATATAAAAATATACTTTTTCTCTGCTTCCCTTTTGAGCGTGTCAGTTTTATCCATGTTGTAAAAGATGGATTCATTATCAAGCCTATTCAGTCTTTATTGTGGGTCATGATTAAAATGGGAGTGGAAATGTGGCCTGAGCACGTGTTTAAAAGAGAGCCATATGAACACGTAGCTTAGTAAATCTGCCACAATAAAAAGAGCACCTTTGTGTGTAAATCAATATTAACTCCTGCATTTACATACAGTGTTATGCATCTGTTCCCTGCCAAGTTACGGGGTTATTTCCCATTTTCATTTTTGACAGACAAATAAGTAGAATTACATGTTACATTGGGAAAATTGACCTTTTTCTGAGCTTGAACGGCTATGATCGACCCTCCATGATCTTTTTGTATCCATTGCTTTTGAGCCTGGGAAGCATTTAAACTGTGTGTCTAATACATTGAAATAAAGAGTTGATGCTAAAATTATGCTCATGTTGTGTTTAAACAAAATGAGGAAGAAGAAAAACATGAAAATAAAAAAATAGCTGTCCGAGGGTTACTTTAGCTGTGCAGAGCGGGCATGTTGGAAGGAAGTTACCTGTTGTTAGAGTGCACCGATGGTGAGTCACTCTGAAACACGAGCTTGACCAATCTTATAGGCCTCGATTACAGACTGATAGATAAAGGAAGGTAAAGGAATGTCTGCACGTGCTAATAAATTACATGGCCCACTTTATCATTTGCCCCTCATTAGTGAAAGAAACACACTCTTACGTTAGATGGCATTGTCTGAAGTGTGACCTTTGACCTCCCACAGGGTCACTGTGACTTGCTACTGTCGAAATCAGCCCAAGATAAGACAGAAAAGGTCTCATGACTGGGCTTAGTTTATGATAAAAACAAACAACAAACTCAAAATCTGACAAAATGTTGGAGCTAAATTTACATATTGCTTTGTTTTCCTTCAGAATTAGTCTTCTTTATAATAAAATCTACTGTGTAACCATAGTAATCAAACTTTTCTATAATGACAACAACAAAAACTGTGTCTTAATCGAATCTCCTGAACAAATCAGTTAGGTATGATCCGGGCTGGCGGGAATGAGAACAGCAGACCAAAATACATCGTGATGTTTACATGATAAACTGGAATTTGCACAGGACGCATAATGGTTTATAGCATTCATAAAATTGTAGATAGAATTCAAACTATAAAAGACAGAGAGGAACTGACCCCTTTTTAAATACACTTCAAATAATGCAACTGGTTCCTGGTGTGCAAATAGCTGATGCCGACTCAATGTGTGCCTCCCGAAAAAGCAAGTCAAGAATGACTGAATGGGGTTTACAGCTCTGTATAATAGGGCTTATAAAAAAGCTAACAAAGCAAATGCCCAGTCAGTCAGCTGTGACTGACAAGCAGCTGTGGAACAAGACATTTTAAGAGATAAACCTCTGACCTGTACAGAAAGTTTTGCCTGGAGAGATAGTGAGCTGCATTCAGGACATTAATGTTGTCATCATTTTATGAAATCAGATGAGAACCCCCCCCCACCCCTTCATTTGTATTTTTTTTATACAATGGTGAAAGAGAAATTCCCATAATCAATCCAGTCACACAAGTTAATTTATCAAGCATGTGTTTACGCTTCATTGTGTCTTTTTAAAATGTTGCCTTTCCTACAGCTGTTGAAAAGTTGAAAGCTGTTGAAAAAAGTTCACGCTTTGCGCAATGTTGAGCTTATTAAATGGTTTAACACCTCACGGCCACCGTATTCGGACAATAATGGCTAACACACAACAGGTCACTATAGCAACAACACGTACGTTCCATAGTTCCTCCAGTGCCAAAGTGGTCGTATGTCGGTTTAAACCAGATAAAGCGGTGAAATATACCAACATGTTCAACTGGATAGACTTAAAACAAAAGGGGATATAAGGTTTTTATCGGCCACGTGTCGTTACCTACCTGGTTAAATTTTCAATTTCTGTGGGAATACTTCTCAGTCTGTTTCCACCGAGAGAAAGCGACTGCAGACGCAGCAGTTTGGTGCACTGAAGCGGGATCTCCTCGAAGCGGTTCCCGCTAAAGTTTATCACCTCCAGCGGTAGAGAGCCGAACTCTTTGGGCAGAGAAAATTCGTCCAGGCGGTTGTTCTTGGCAAAAAGTGTTTTAAGTTTACAGAGTCGCGTAATGCCATCACAGATGGTCGAAAGTCCGTTGTTGCTGATGTCCAAAAACTCCAGGTTGAGGAAAAGGCTGACCGCCGAGGGCAACGAGGCCAGTCGGTTGTTGTTCAGGTAGAGCTGCCTTATGTCTCTTTTCCTCTCGTCGCTAATGCTGTCAGCGCTGAAAGTATTTAAACTCAAACGTGAAAAGTCGAGAACACAATCTCTGGCAGCTGCTGCCCCTTCTTGAATGTCCATTTTGGCTTTTTTTGCGGGGGAAACTTGAGCTCTCTTTGATGGTCCTCGTAGAAGTAGTTTCGCAGTCCACGTGAACCGCGAGCTAACTCCGGCGCTTGACTGTTTTCAACATGTAACACGGGTAGATTTCCACATCCTCGCCAGTACCGCAATACCGCATCTCTGATTAAATACACGTCACTAAATTAGTGCAAGCTGAGAACCTCTGTAACTACATTTAGCTAAACTGGCCAGTAAAGGGCTTCTACAATACAGACATTCTTTGAGAGGATTTCGCCCATTGGCTCATTTTTGACACGGACTCCTCCCACATTGGCGTTGATTGGCTACTTTCCCAATCTTTTTCGTTACAAAAGAAGTTATTAAAACAAAAACTGAGAAGCTATATATCGTTTTATGGAATTTTATACACACGCACTATCACGTCGGGATATGGCGCAGTGGTAATTAAGAGTTTTACGTCTTACAACAATTGGACAGTGCTGGCTGATGGCCCATAATGCAAGCCGCAAGTCCTCGAAGTATTACGCAACATGTCTTCTGTTACATTATGTAAAGGTCTCCTGACTTTATGTGAACAGAATGTGAATCAGGTATGTAACAGTAAATTTACACGATGAGAAATCAGATCAATGCATTGTATTATCTCTGGTCTTTTCACTACAAGGCTTACTGTCATCACACTGATTCTGGGACATTAACGACATTTACTGACTCTGAGTACTTTGCCCAATTCACAAATCCAATTTTAAGGTCTTCCAAAGAAGTAAGTGGAAAGTGACCAGGAGGACAGTTGAATGGGTCATTTCTCATATGTGACTGCCCCATTAATACTAAACAAAAGATGGTAAAGAAATGCACTTGCACCCCTACTTCATCATTCCATTGACCTCTCCAATCAGTTTATGCAACAAGCCCCATTCAAACACTCCTCTTTAATGTAACTGTTCTTTCTTTAACCAAACAGTTTGAAACTAAACAAAGTTTTACATGCACCAAATCTTACCAGGCTGATGTCCTTCTCAATGACTGTCTTAGTGTTTACAGATAGATTACCAAACTAAAACACGATAGCTATATAGTTTGGCTGCCAAAATCCCTTAGAAATCATGAACAATAAGTATCACAAGTCATGAGAATTCAAGTAACAAAACTGCTAACTCAATTGAATAATTTATCTAAACTATTATTGTTATCTGTTTTTCCACACAAATTGTTGTTGAACCTAGACTTTAAAAAAGAAGAGTTCTGAGTTCAGCTCTGTAACATTTAATAAGGCAGATGAGAGTAAACACATAATTAAAAAAAACACGATTATGTTGTGGTGTAGGGCATTTATTGGCATACACACATTTTCATTACAGTCTCTGCACTTTTCAGTGGAAAGATTTAGCTTGAAACTAGTAATGTACCTTTCACACACACATTTACCAGCGCCTGAGTTACAAGGCAGCAGTTTACTGCTAAACTTCAGCAAAGCACACTCCTTCCAGCCACGAGCTTGTGACACAACTGCTGATGTGCAGGCGAAGGTGTTGACCGATACGGTTTGCAGGTCTAAGGCACTGATTTTTCTGTCAAACATCCCAATTTTGATACAACTTTTAGACAAATGACCACATTAAAGAAACCCAACTACTTTTACATTAATAACACACTCGCACACATCCACACATTTCATTTGCACCCAGATAATGTTGCTATGCTACTTTAGCTGACAACAAGGCTAGTCCTTCTGTTAGTGATTTTGAAAGCACAGGTATAGTGTTGTTGCTGGGTCCAGAGTAATGTTTTACCTGGAGAGTTTTTTGTACATTATTCAAACACTTCATCAAGGCTTTGGTATCAGTTTTCACCATGCTAAACTCAGATCTGGTCTCACCTGGTGCAAAGATCTGGACAGCAACCTGTCTTTATCCCAGTGAAAAAAGACAGAAAATGGTTCAACCAAAAAGCACCAGAGAGACTTGTCGGAGCATAACATGGGAACAAAGTGAGCTCTAATTCAAGCCACATACTGTACAAAGAAACATACTTTTTTGCGGTAAAAATTACACTCAAGCCGTAAGATACAAATACATTTCAGCAATGTGGTAAACAGAAGCATAGGAAAGACAAGGAGAAAGAAAGAAGTGCAATGGTCAAGTAGTGGCTTACTGTTGTGATTCCACACGGCGACAAATTCAGAAGCCCAGGTGGTTTTTACCTTCTTATCCCGTCGGGCTTGTTAAAAACACCTGCTGATACGAAGGTGAAGTGAATCAGGTCGCAGCAGGCATTTCAACAAGTGCATTCTCCAAGCTCCAAACTCTGATGCCTCCTAAAACGCTGACTCCCATATGCCAAAACAATGACAACTTGACAGTTTCTTTCATAGCAAGTTTAAAATAAAATACAAAGAAAAATAATCCCCAGACTAGTGTGGAGGTGCAGTAATAAAATCAAATATGACAGTACTGAACACAACGCAATCCCATTACGTTATGGGACTGCTTTAGATTCAAACAAACATCAACGTAAACACTTAAAGACTGTTAGAAAAAACTGTAATAATTAACATTATAGAGAAAGATGAAAAAGTCAGTTTGATAACACTTGGCCACAAGGGAAATCAAGTATGGAAGAAGGGTGATGGCGTGCATCCTCTTCTTCTCCTCGTTTCCCCCCTCAGGCCTCCTTTGTGCTGCTCTTCATCTTCTCAACCGTTTCCTGTAATTGAATACAAAGAAGTTGAGAAAAAGAGGATATGGTATACAGTTCAATATACAGAACAAAGTGAGCCTAGCTGTTTAAACATCTATTACTCCATCCTGTGCATTTCTAAAGATTTTTTCTCATCAAAGTAAAGAAGTACAACCAAAGTTAACAAAAAGTCTTAACAAATGGAAGAACAAAACATTAAATAAATAAGGCTTCCCAATAATATGATGATAACAAGATTTCTCAAAATCTGCATTTGGCCTTTGTACATTTCAGGGAAGAATTGGCAATGAAAGCAAGTGAACCCTCAATTATGCAATGAAAAACAAACATATTGACCGTTGCCCTGTCTTGGCCTGAGTTTCATTCAGAAGGACTTGGGCAAAAGTGGTCTGATGAGTTACGGTTTATCCATCTACCGCTTATTCTAGTAGGGTTGTGTTGGGCTGCAACCTGTTCCAACTGAATTACAGTTTATCTTTTTGCTAACTGTAGACTAACTTCCACTGGACTAGAGAGGGGATGTAGCAAATACATATACATGTCTCGTCATGATCCTTTAAAATGCAGTATCTGTGAGCATTTTTTATCAAATTATCAAAAAGAATTACAATCAACACTGTATGTCAACTTATCATTAAATGATTCTAGCTAAAACAATATGTGGTACATATGATCCACAATCCATGTGTTCCAGCTTTCTGGGAAACAGGATTGAACTCTGAGGTTGAATTTAGCATGAACCTGCCTGTAAATGTAAACTCAAGTGTGATATTTCTTTGCATTACAGGCTTCTGTTGAGTGGCGCAGAGTACGTGACCTTGCTGACTCAGCCATGGCGTCAATCCAGGTGCTTAGAGCTATCTTCTGAGCGCCACGCATACAAGCAAGCTTACACAGGTGCCACAAGAAATTATTCATGTTTTTCGCATGCATTTGGGTTTATCATGATCCATTTATCCAATTGAAAGGTAATGTATGTAGTATTTTACTTCAATTCTTAACTAAACAGTCTTTGTAATACATATAATTGTCATTCACACTGTCATGTATATAGTCCTTTGTACAATAAAAAATATTGAACATCATTTTGTGGATCATTTCAAGCCCATAACAGTTTATTTGTTCTAATGTCAGAACATTCAGCGATATCCAGGCTTTCGACTTTTTTAGTTTTATTTGATATGCCTGAAGCAATATATACTATGCTCATATTATTTTTCCCCCAAAAAAAGTCATTCACAGGCACATGAAAATATACACTTTGCACTTCATGCGTGATTCAAAATCTCTTTCTCTGTAAACACACTACCGGTAATCTTGGTTATGTCTTCACGGAATCTAAAGCCAAACACTGAGTTTAGTGGCTATGGTTGCAACATTCTCTGAAATGGAATGCATAACTGGGGAACCCAAACCCAAGCCGGGAGATAAATGAGAAATAAGATTTCATTAGGTAAAATCCAAAACACCACTGCTGCAGAGGGTCAAACCACAGTGACGAGGTTGAGGATGCATCCAGACAAACAACCACAAGCAGTGATTCAGACTAGATTGAAAAGATGTGATGACAAGGTGAGTGGCAATTAAGTGAAGCCAGAAAAAAACCTGGGCATTAAGTAAAATTTAATAGAACTTGAGAGGGAACAGGCTGAAATAAAGCAAACTATAGTGTAGATGGAATTCAAAGATGTATAACCCTAAAGCAAAGAAATGAAGAACATATAATAAAAACACGGATCATCACATATTTTAGTTTTAGACATGTGCTCTATAAAGCTATACATTAGCTCTGTTAAAGATCTGATAAAGTTTGATACATTTTCACTTGATAAGTGATAAACAGTTTTTATGGGACTTTGGATAACAAATCTAGACCTGGTGCTTGTTGAGCTCAGCCACGCGAAGGTTCCACTCCTCCTCCGTCATCTCTGCTCCAGCATCTGACTCACCCGCGGCTGTCTGTTTGTCTGGAGAGACAGCAAAATGTTAAAGGGACACGCGTCTGGAGAAATTCATCAGGAGCAAGCTGAGATCAAAGTCATTACCGGTGCAGGTCATGGCGGTGCACACCCAGTTTCCGCATGCGCAGACGCAGCGGTTACAGTCCACCTGGGTGTCTGCCCCGTCCTCGTAGGTTTCATCCTCAAGGGCACATTCTGCAAAAAGACACACACAAAAAAAGCCTTAGGTCTGAGTCAAATCACTTCAAGCGTCTCATAGTTCTGCTGCAAGCGTTAAAACGCCTTTGGCCACTCTCAGCTTCGTCATGGATATGCAGACACCCACACCATGAAGGAAATCCAGAAACGTGATCCCACAACAACAGACACATTGGAAATATACCCTTTATCTTTCATCAACTCCAGGCTTGCAAATTGTGATTATCTTTTAAGCAAAAGCAATACTTTATGTGTAGGAGAATTGAGTTTAAATAATAAAAAAAAACCCAGCTAGCTGGATATGTATGAGTGAGTGTCCTTGACTCTGGAGTAGCTCCAGGGTTCACTGCTCCACACACAAAAACGGATGGAGCAATGCTTCTGATTTCTGAGAACTTTATACCAGATATATTTGCACTAAATGACTGAAATGAAGGGGGACAAAAAAAACTGTTTCAGCCTTTTGAGAAAAGAGCCACTGGAGTCCTGTTTCCATGGTTTTCTGGGAGCCTGCTAATCTGCAGCTTTAATGCTACTTGAAGTTATATTAGGTCAAAGTAACTCTTCAAGCTCACTCTTCTCTGGTGGGTTGAAGCCGGGCTTCAGACAGTTGAGGAACTCATCAAAGCTGAGTTTCCAGTCGGCGTTCTCATCAGAGAGCTCAATGAGGGCATCGACACACAGGCTCCTGGGAGGCAGACATAAACAAAATTAACTTCTACCTACTTGTGATGCCAGAGCATTCGAAAAAAGAAGCGTCACAGAAAACATAATTAGTAGAGAGAGAGCTATTCCACAGAGTACAGGTGTTTATGCCCCTGCAGGCTCCCACGGGAGGCCTTCAGTAGTGTTTGCACTGATCCGCACGGTGCCAGTGACATTTCGGCATGTCTGAAAATAGCACCGCACACATAAATCCTGTATGCACAAGCTTTATCGCCACAGCAAATATCTGGGGGAAGGTGGGAAAACATGCTCCATTACGCAGCCCTTATGTAAAAAGGTCCAAACCCACGCTGACCTGAGCAGCTTGTTGCTCTCCTGGTCTGCATAGGACTGCAGCTCCACCGCCGAGTCATTGTGCTGGATGAATTTGAGCAGCTCGGAGGAGTCCAGCTGAGAATCCCCGTTGTCGTACGACTGCAGATAAACACAGAAAGACCGCATGAGTGGGCTTTTCAATTCCCATAGCATTCCTACAACCTAGAATGGTGCAGGAACCGAAACGCAGACAGCGGACGCTTCTGGCCTTTAGCGCAGAGCGGGCACTCACCTTGAAGTACTTGAGCAGGATTTCAGAGAAGTTGGACCCCTTGACAAACCAGCCGTCTGGGATGACCTCGGTCTGCAGCCACTGGATAACACGACTCCTCAGCTCATTGCGGTCAGCAGCGAAGCACACGACTGCAGCAGTGGGAATGTTTCCAAAGGTCACAACCATTAATTATTTTGTCCAAAGGGTGAAAACTTGAGAGGGTTTTCACAGCCGGCTGCTGTCTTTTTGGACATGTCACAGTTCCAGCATCATTATGACCTTTACATGCAGTGATTGCACACAAATTAAAAGATAAAACCTAAAGTCAGATCCACTCCACCAAAATATCATCAGGGTGACGGTGAAAGCCAAAGTAACCTGGGCATTCATTTTTCCTCTAATTTAAGAGAAACACATCAAACATATTAGAAACTTAAAATGAGATGCAAAGAAATAATCTGGTCTGTATCGAATCTCGAGATAGGGTAAAAACTGCTGATGGGACATATTATTCTGTTATTGTGCATTAAAAAAAATGTAGGCAGAAAATGGTGGATCAGAAGATATATAAACGTACCTGGGCTGGCAGCTGCCTTCTCTGTTTTCTTTTCTAGAGGAGATTCAAAAAGACAAACAAAATATAAAAACTCAGACCATCTCAGCTTGATTCAAACAAATGGAGCTGAACGTGACCATCACTGAACCTTTGCCCAAAGGTCTCGAAAGACAACAACATGACGTAAAGGTTTTAAGCGACTACCCAGCCTTTTTCTGACACCGATCAATGTTCATGCCAGCAGGGACCCAGCGAGACAATTCTTTGCGTGGGAAGTGAAAGTTCAGCGGTGATAAGAGGCCGATGTATTAATAGACGGGGCTGAGCACACAGGTGTTGGCGTAGAGGCAGATGTGCAGCGTCATGTGGGCGTCATTTCATATTCACTTTGAACCCATTCACCCGTGCTTATCAGCACCAGGAATATGTGCTGGTTCATAGGTTACACGCTAATCACCTCATCACCTGCCTGCGGTACAGTCGGCATTTCTGCCACACACCAGATGAGCACTAAAGTATCATCTGCCAGAATGGCCGTCACATGACGACGGTCCAGTGAAAGTTTTGGCCATCTGTTGTATTAAGTCTAGCTTGTTGGTTTTTAGAGTCAGTAAAAAATTATGTTACACCGATACAGCATATTTTGTACCAGGCAGACATGTTCAAAGGAAGAAGGGATTCATGCGTGTGGGAGGTGTGGAGTAAAAGCGGTGCTTCCATGTGGCTGGCACAGATGTGGATCTGATCGCCTGATATATGCTCATATCATGCTAGCGTGCTATGCTGATATCTGCATGCCTGCTCACACAACCTAAATTACTATTAAAAGCAACTTTGCACAGCAGCTGCATGGACAGGAAATGTAACTTTAACAGCAATATTTCCTCTAAGAAAAATGTTAAATAGGAAACTGTTTAATTATTTTCATTAGTTATTCTTATCACTTATTAGCTATTTCTATCTTGAAAAAGCATCACATTGTCAAAGTCTCAAAAACGCAGATTCAAACAGAATCAAAAGAGTGTGAAGAGTTTACTTTTATAAAACAAAAAGTATAAGACTGATTTTTTTTTTCTATAAGCAGAAGCAAAAGTGCAAGCATCATAAAGAATATTTTAAGAAAAGTATTCATTCCAAAAAGGATTGACTGACTGTAACGTTGGTATTTTCTGTAGTGTTTGTTGATCTTTTACCCTTGCAGTGTCCATCGTGAGCCACTTGGATCTTCAAGCCTGTCAGGCAAGCATCTCTGTGGAGCTCGCAGTGATTCCTGTAGGTTTTGCCATTGCTGCCGCACACGGACCTCTTGTGAGGCTTACAGCTCTGCACAAAATCAGGAACAGAAATGAATCAAAGTGATTAAAAAACTTATTTCAATCCCAGTTGAGTGAAAGCTCAACTTGGCCTCTGCTGGACCAGCCCGCCCTCACCTCGATGCACAGACAGCTCGGCTCCCCCTTCTCGTTGACCGCACACTCCCTGCCAGCCCCACAGAAGACGTTGGCACACACTTTGCTCTTACTTTGCAACTCCTAAATGGCACACAAATGGGAAAAAAACATTTAGAAATACTCACCCATCTCACACACAAGGTGGTGCTATTACATATGTAAGAGGTGAAAAATGTGTAGACCGCATATTAGAGCTCATTTTGAGGGTATATTTGCCAAGTGGGAATAAAAAAACACCTCCCTTCGCTTACACCGGCTGATGTTATAACCACACATTTAAAGAAATCCACAACATTAGTTAAATTTTCATTAACAGACCATAAATACTACAGAGATACCATATCTGACCAACAGACTCAAACCAGTCGACAATGATCCACAATGTGTTGGCCTAACTGTCGTCTTATTTTTGTCCAGTAAGAAGTCATTTATGTTTTTGGTTAACTCCAGAGTGGAAATGTCTGAAGTCTACAACTAAATATGGAGATAGTCAGTAGAGCAGATTCAAAACGGCCTTTGTTGAATGTAGTTTTAAATGGATTAACTTGAACAGGAAAGATTCATTCAAATATCTAAGGCCCTTTTGTCAGAAGCTTTTTGGCCATCTTTGCCCTTGCCGATAACTCCAATATCTGGTTTTAAATGTTTTCCATGTTTCAGAAGATTGTCAGCAGTTAAGAAAAAAAAATTAGATTACCTCTGTTACGAACCAGCCAATCAAAACCCGCCAAGCGGAGCTTCGAGAGATGTCTGTTGACCCTCATTACCTCCCCCTTTCCTCCCCTGTGCGTCTTTGTATACTGTGTGTGTATTTAAGCAAGCATTTGTGTACAGGGTGTTTCTACATCTGGAGTCTGAGCAGTTTTTTCCTTCTGGGCCCATTCCCAAGCTCTGTGAAATCTGTTCTCCACCCTGTTTCTCCAGACTCCCCCCCTTGTCTTCCCTGAGCTGCTGTTTCCTGTTGGAACGAGGCAGAAAGTTGGCTTTGTTTTTGTGCCTGCACGTGAGCAGGATCCCAAGTGTTAAAGCGTGCATGTGCGTAAAACTGTACCTTATGTTATGTTGTCTTGAAATGTGGGTTGTTAAAAAAAGGGGGCTCTGAATAAAGTTCAATGATAAATATACTGTCCCAGGGTGATTTCAGGGGGTGGAGGGGTAGTCACATGCTCATGTCACACTGCAGCAAGTTTAACTCAGACCTGGTTCGAGGAGGGGATTGAAGGGATTTACTTCAGTTCTATGCATAGTTCAAACACACACACACACTCGCACTCCAAAGCTGAGGTCATGGAAAATCTTCAAAGCCATCCAAATGGCCCTGAGCATGTTGGACACATCAGTTAGTTACACACCAACACAGAGAGGCTGGGGGCTTGCAGAAACCTGTGGGAACCTCCATGGAAACATGAATAATGAATGGGCTCCTGAGATAATTCAAGACTACAAATGTAGAAGTCTGTCCGTTCATCTTTCTCTGAGCAGAGAATCTCTGGCAATTAAAAAAAAAAAAGAATTCGTATCCTGCTGATTCAAGTGGACTGTTGCCATAGTGAGGCCATGAACAGCCACTTGTTGTGATAATTTTGTAGAAGTGTGGATCCAGGATCTTTGATGAGATAAAAACAGAATGTCTTGCTAGGATTTTTCATCACCGATACAGATATACAATATAACACGAGACTCTGGTAAACATTGGGGGAAATAAGACTGTAATATCACCTTCACAGAACAAAGAGAGCTGCCTCGTGTTGTCATAACTCATGCCTGCCTGTAGCCCCGAGCTCTCACAACGGATATGAGCAGGCGTGGGCACACGTTCTCTTTTAAATACACCAATATGTTGACATACATAACTGCTGGGTTCGAGTCTTAATTTGAGTCATAATTCAGGACTTATCTGGCACCTAAAGACAAAACTGTGACTTCTATTCCAATGTGGGAGTCTAACCGTATCCAGGTCTCATTATCGACTGACCTCCTCCATGTCACCTCCTTTGAGTAAACTCATGTGTTTACCAAAACTGTCAGACTTCTTATAGATACTTTATACATGTTATTGGATATAATATTATAATGAGGACTCCACACAAGTGCTGCTTTATGGGTGTGCATGCAAACAGTCATCAGCCCAATTATCAGCCGAGCAGACGGTGGAAACAATACACAAACCCAGCACTAATAAAGGCCATCTCATGCACTGTGATTGTCCTAGTTAAATGGTACTTCTTTTTTTTTTTTTAAGCAAACAATGTCTTTCCCATTTAAAATTAATCACAGCTGTTATTTGCCCAGTGGATCCTCCCAGAATAAAGAACGTTTTTCATAAAACTGCATCAGCATCAGCAACAGCATATTTTGCTCTTCATGTTCGAGTCTCCCTTTTTCAATGTTTTCCCATTAGTCAGAATAATCTGATTATTCGATGGGTTTCAGAAGATTAAAACTTAAATGCTCTGCCCTTTTAGAGCATCAAGGGGCATGCCAGTGAATCAAAACTGGCCTTTAAGCACTTAGATGGAATGAAAATAGGTGAGCGAAATGGCAGTGAAATTAAATATGAATGAGAATTAAATGAAAAAAACAACCTTATGTGTCCCAAATATATATAGCTGTTTGGGGAGTCTAAATGTTAGCAGACAGGTAGAAGGTCAGGATATAGGAGAAAATGAGGGGTACTGATTCCTCCACTGCGATGCTGACTCTGACTTCCAGCTGAGCCTGACTCCAGTTAAAGGGCAATGTCTTCTCGCTTCAGTAGAGAAATGCCACTTCTTCTTTCCACTTATGATGAGGACAAAAGCAGCACAAAAATAGCAAGACGAAACCTTTACATACGAACGCAGGAAAATATTACGCCTTTGCACGTTTTCCTCATATGTTTTCAAATGGATTTGGGCGTGTGATTGAGATGCTCAATTGACCCAGCAAGCCAATCAATGCTTCACTTCTCTGGATGTCATTTTACAGCCACCATGAAGACATTCCCACAATACCCTTCATTTCAAGAGAAAACATTGATTTAATGTAGCAAATGCAAACTGCTTTTTGAAAAGAAGGCTGAGCGTACCCTTAGTGCTGATTTTAATCAATTGCGCTATTTTTCTGTTTGTTTATCTTCAAAAATCAAGCTTAAATCAATGTCTAACAACAAGCATTCAGTCTCTTTCCTTTCATGTATCTCTCAGAAACGTGTGGATTCAGGGCTGTGAAGATAAAGTGGGATCATACTCCATTATGAAAAAGTTAAAGGGTGCTTCAGTTCTACTGACATCTTTATGAAATTTTAAACAAAAACCTTGTGTGAATTCCTTGATAAAGTTCTTTATTAAAATATTGAACAAAAATGTCTCGCTTTAAGTTAGCATGGCTTTGATATGTGATGGTGCAGGCTTTCTTATCCTTATCATTTTTCTAAACTTTTGTTCACACTAAATATTTAATATGTATTATCCACTGGAATCAATACACTTCATATGCAAACAACTTGTTTTGACATTTCATCACTAGATTCCCTTGGGAAGTAAGATTTTTTGCATTCATTATGGATTCATAATAATGATTTTGAGATGAGCTGATGAGGATCAGGTCAAAAAAGTCATTACAGCTTCAACTTGTAGCCTGAAGTCATCATTTTGTCTCCATTAATAGATTTTGAGCTGCCTATTTTTGATCAGCAAAACTGCAGCACTTCTTAAAACAAGTTCGCAATTAGCATCACATTACATCTGGTTGTTACACAACAATATCCACCACACACCATATTCACCATACAAATAATTGAAATTCCAAAATGAGCAAATAGTGAATTTGATACTTTGAGAAGGACCGACAGTTCTAACCTTCAATGCCTGATAGCATATTTGAGTGATAGACTGGAACATTTGCCCGATAGAGACAAAGACATCTCTCTTCCAGCTTGTTTAAGTTAGGTTAATGGAAATTAAATTCCGTCGCAGGAAGGGATTATCTTTATCAAACCTGTCATAGAGACTACTTTCTATGCAGGAGAGAGATTTAAATACTTCTTTGTATCTTATTTCATGTAAAACAAACCACACACATATATGTATGGGAGAAAAAGAGGAAAATGTTGTGTGAGCTGCATGCTGTATGGAACATGTGTAACTGTTTCACGGCTGTGAACTGTGAACATGTTTCAAAGTTGAATAACAAACTCCTTTATGGTGAAAAATCAGCCAAAATGTGACTCATGAACTCACTGAATACCAGATCTTCCTTCACTCTGCTATATGGTGCATTAAATTACTATTTGATTTAAAGCTGTTTGACCTATTAAATCATTATTGGATGAACAAGATTTATCTATACTGGCTGAGTAGTACATTCCTTATCTAAAATTGCTGCATGTGTCATGGTGTCTCCATTTTGTCTGCATCCAAGCTCTCTTCTCAAACAGAACAGAGAACTGTACATGAAATACACAACCCAGCAAACGCATGAGTGTTGATCTCTGCCTCCTTTACCGTCGAATCTTTCACAAGTTACATCAACAGCCTCAAGTTAAAACTTAACACTCACCAAAAATGAAATAAAAACTTAAAGAACTCTTCATATATTTTTCTCGAAAGTTCAAAAGATTCTAACTCTTCTCATGTCATCTGTTTCTGCTTCTAGTGAGGAATTATTCATGAAACGAGTTAGACTACTGCTTCAAGCGCTGACTAGGTTCAGATGTGAACAGCATCGTACACTGACCCAGAGTTTACAAATGTTTACACAAATGTTTCTACGTCTTCGCTTAAAATGGGGGAGAGCAACAAAGGAAAAGCAAGAAGTAAAAGCAAGGGATAGAGAGGAGAGGCAGACAGAACTGGGAGAATGAGAGGGTGGGGTGGGGGCTGCATTCCTGAGTTGTGTTGTGCCTCCGCTTGTGTCCGACACAGTTAGTCTTGAGCCAAAACCTTGTCTGTAAATGGGTCAGAGAGGTGCCTCTGCTCTCCCACTCATCAATATCCCTCCCGTTCACCCCCATGCCGTCTCTCCCCCTCTAAACTATCCTACAATCCTTAACTTCATGCGACGTTGACTTATGCCAGGAATTAAGCGGACAGACAGCTCAA